GATGCCATCTCATGGCACTTCTCGAACAATAAATAACAAGAACATGCCTAGTGTGATTGTTAAGAGTGAAAATGGCAACAGAGTTACATTGCACGACTCTGAGTTAAGTCTAGCAATGGGGTGGGTAATTTTTTTGTTACATTCTGAAATATCTCTATTTTTCAAGTCCTTTGTCTGTTGCTATTGACATGCTTCATCATATTGCAGATTAAATATGCCCAGACAATCAAAGATTTCTCAAGTTGAGAGGAAACCACACGTGGAATTTGAGGTGATGAACATTTCAACTTTTACAGTTTATTCGGTCCTACCATAACCTGATTTCTGAGCTGGTACACTTGTATTTTTGGTATTATTGGCTTACATTTAGGCCAGAGAAGTTGATTGCAAGCAACAGCATATGATCAAGGAACAAAAAGGAAACGGTATGCTCCCTCATTCTCGAAGATCAAATGCCCCTTTTGATATGGCTGATCTCATTTTGATGACTAAAGTATAGGCGAAAAGTTTTTTCCTTAATTTTGCTGATTCTCGAACTTCTTTTATTTTTTTCCAGAAGGCCTTGCATTGTGGCCAGGCTTGTCTCCATTGGCACCAACTAGCCAGGCTTATCTTCAGTAAAGTTTCTTTCATTCTTCATTTTCGCCTAGTTAGGTACCTTAGTTACAGTTTGTCCAATTCTGATAATTTTTTTTTACTTTCCAAGGTCTTCTGCTATTAAAGCTCCTGATTGGCTTGAAGCTGCAATCCGTGCCTCCAAACTGGATTTGATGGAAACTTCAGCTTGTTCGTCAAGTGGGAGGGTAAGGACTAACAAATTTACTATCACTGTTGTTTTTGTTTGACTTACACTATTATGTTAAATTCTCTTGATCCTAAATTGTGTACATTCCACTCAAACAACAATATATCGTTGCCAATAACAAACCATGCAGGTTTTTATTCCCAAGAGATCATGGAAGAAGTGTGCAGCTCATATTCACATCAGTCATATAATCAAGAGTTTAGAGATGCCAAAAAGACAGGTTATCAAAGAAACTAGGCTTTTTGACTGTCATCAACAGAGAGCACATGAAGGATCAAAGCGTGGAGTTCTTTTACAAGCGCACAGCTTAAACGGAATGAAAAATGGAGTTACTTCTACTGTGACGAATCCCAATGAGAGTAAGAATATTATTCTCCAGCAGCAATGTCATTATCGAGAGATATCACAGTCTGCTCCAACACCTGTGGTTTATGGCCCTCAAAAGCAAGTAAGCCTAAGGTTAATTTTGGTGATGATGCCACCCCTCTTCCTCATGCACTAATGATTATCCTTATTATGCAGAATTTCAACTTCTTGTCCTTGTCAGCAGGAAGTAATGGGTTAAAGGCCGACAATAATAATAATAATAACAAAATTGGAAGTAGGTTGGAACCATTATCAAAATTGCAAATGCCTTATTTTCAGTCACTAGCACAGCAGCATGGGGTGGTCATGCCAATTCCTGTAGCTCAGAGTCAGTATGCCTCAACTTCTTTCCTTGATCAGCTTTCTGTAGCAGGACCACAGGTATTAAATATCTCTTTTGTTGCAAGAGCAATGTTATTAAAGTATCATTAATCCAATAAAATAGGCTCGGAAATCTAGGGTCCAACTTTGGTAAAAATAGTTTAATGTGATCATCTATATGAAATGAGGTGCCTAAAGTTTATTGCTAGTAATGAATTGAACAAACTAGCGTGCAATTTAATATCTCATAAATATGCACTCTTATTGTCCTGCTAGTATCGTCACGCAATGCTTTAATTGAGTGCAGGTTCGGTTGCAGCAACCTCATTATTTTGGTAACCCGTTATGTGGAACTAATTATAGTTCAACGCTCTCACATAAATCAGATCATCGAAGCTTTTGGGGGTTGCAACAAGCAGAACAAAGTAGGTCCACAGTAAATTTCAATATAATGAGGACCCAATTTCCTAATTGGCAAAGTGCAAGGCATGACTCTTCTGCAATGAATCCATGTTCCCAAGCCATTCTTCCCTGTTCGTCTGCATCACAAGATACGTTGGGATCTAAGATTTCTTCAATCCCTGCCCAACAGAAGCAGCTCCTTGCACCCTTCCAAGACAAATGGACTAGACCTTCATCATCCCCCTTCATCATATGAAGAAACCAGAGACACACTCCCAACTAGTGCAACAATGTGGCTGCCAATGCGATTGTAAAGTCATGACCAACATCAGTACTACGATTCATTGTTTTATATTTCTACACGGGCAGCTTCTAGAGCTTCACCTTTCATATTAAAAGTAACATAGAACTCTTAATTTGCGCTAAAATATCCCCCAACCAAACTTAGAAGGATTGCCCCCTAATCATTTTTCATTTTGCAGGACACTAGCACCATCTAACTGAAAATAAAACACCAGTATCTGTTCCCTAATGGTTCATCCCTACCACCAAAATTAATCGATTTTCATTGCTTATACACTGCAATTGTCCAGTTATATTCCATTAAGTGTTTTACAAACTGTCACGACGAGCAAATAATTTTTTTTAAAAAAAATACATAATAGAAATCGACAATAAAAGAAAGGCTATTGAAAACCCGGATTTGACTAATGTCTTACAAATATAAACATAAGCCCAATAAGATGCGTAGGTAAAGGCTACTGAATACACGGCTCAAGAAAAAATATTTTCAAAATTCTGTATCACAATTGAAATGCAAGAATTACGCCGAGGGCAAAAGCAAGTCATCGAAACCTCCAAACTGCTACGACTGCAGAAAAGTAATGTATCACTCCAGTTTTTCCAATTCCCCCATTCTCTCAATGATAGCCTGCGAGCACAAAAACAGGTTAGTTATCGAATTGAGGTTTTCTGTTCCACGGACTTCATAGCTATGTCAAAACAATTACACCCAAAACAGCATTTTCATAAGCGGAGAAATGTGTAGGAAGAAGTTATAGAAGTAGACAACTATGCCTGAAATCATAGTGTATAACAACAAGGCTTAAACCTTAAAGCAGCAGCCATACATGGAGTGCTTAGAAACCAAAATAATGCATACCTTCTTGCTTGTTTCTTGCAGTTCACCCGCTAGAATGAATTCATCAAGTATAAGATAGACCTTCAAGACAAACAGGTAAATTACATGAGTAAGTAAACGTTCAAAAATAGTAATAATAATCTCAAGGAAGAAAAACGTTCAATATGGTGGGCAATAACTACTCCAGTCCTAACACTAAACCACCATGAACTGTACTTAGAAAGAAAAATAAAACAAAGATCAGTAAAAATCATTATAACAGACATACATACATACATCCACCAGAGGATCTTGATGTATATAAACGATGACATTACATATTGATTATATTCTTTGGTTTTCCACATGTATGAGGTAATCCTGTCCCAGACCCCATTTTAGCATTAATTTATAGTGTTACATATTGATTAGTGCAGCTAAATAATCAATGTAGCATACTGATTATTGTCGGGTATGGTTTGTCAATATTCTAACATGAGCTCAAGAATACACGCAGCAGAAGAAATCAATTAATAGCAATACCGAGACTAGAAACTACGGCTTATAGTCACCTACATCCACATAAACAGTCACACAATTATTTTACTGAAAATAAACTATAACAAGCAAAGAAAAACAGGAGTCAGATAAGAACACAATTGTAGAGGGAAAATAAGATGAAAAACAAACCTTATGGAAGTTAAATACCAAATCAAGTTCACACACATTGCTGAAGAAGTGATCCAGTATTTCCACAAACAAATGAATGCACTCTAAGTATGCCAATTCATTATCAGTGATATCAACACAGAGTGAAAAAAACAAGCCAGCATATCGCCTGTATATTATCTTGTGCGTACGAAACTGCAATACACGAGATGGTAAGAACACCGACAGACAAAAACATTGTAGCAATTCAGACAGTCTAAGAGCGACAGAACCAGAACCTCGTCACAGTTCCATAACATCAATCAATAAACAGACAAACAACAAATTGCATGATAATCAAAATGGCGGAGATAAAATTGACCTCGACGAAATTAGTGTACTTAGGATCTCTGTTTACGACGAGGCGATGAACCTGAGAAAATTGAGGTGAAAATTAGGTTAAGGCGTTGTTAGTTGTGCGAATAAGAAAAGGAATCGTGTTGTTGTTACCTCGTATTCGACCTTGTGTTTCTCCGAATCCTCAAGAGGAACGTAGTATTTGGCAAGACGAGTCTTGCCCTGTCTGTTCTGCAACAGAATGAATCGGATCTGCAAACACGAAAAGGATACAACAATTTACAAAAACCAAATTGAAAATTGACATGAAAGCGAGTATCAGTAAGAGAAATTTACCATTTGCAACGATGAATTAGGGTTCCAGAGAAGGGAGAATTGTGCAATGTATCTAAGTGCGAGAGACGAAGAAGATGATCATACCAACGACTTTACTTTGAAACTCTCTCTATGTTATTTTTATTTATTTTTATTTTGTTTGTTTTTGGATGCTGCTAGCGTGTAATGACACAGACGGGAGAGACAAGGGTTTTGCCTATATTTTGACTTTCTTTGAAGTTTGAACATTCAAATTAATTTCGAATAAATACTTCAAATAATTTACATTTTTATATAATCTCCTTTTTATAATTTAAATTTAGAGTGAAAGAAAATGTTGTTTTAGTTTTTGTAATAAAATAGCTCTCTTTCCTTTAAAATCTAAAATTGTTTTATTACAGTAAAACATGTAAATTTTGATTTGGGTCATTTTAAGTAAGTATTTTTATCATTTTGTAATTTTAAAGTTTTTGTCTAAATATTTAATATTAGATGGAAAAATATCTTACGTCCATATAGTAACAAGTACCAAATAAGAACAGACAAAATAAAGTTTGACAAATGTAAATAAAAATATTAAAATTAAAATTAATTTGTTTTAAAAGAACAAGTTCCTTACCATTTTTTTTACAATAACTGCTATGANTTTTTTTGTTACATTCTGAAATATCTCTATTTTTCAAGTCCTTTGTCTGTTGCTATTGACATGCTTCATCATATTGCAGATTAAATATGCCCAGACAATCAAAGATTTCTCAAGTTGAGAGGAAACCACACGTGGAATTTGAGGTGATGAACATTTCAACTTTTACAGTTTATTCGGTCCTACCATAACCTGATTTCTGAGCTGGTACACTTGTATTTTTGGTATTATTGGCTTACATTTAGGCCAGAGAAGTTGATTGCAAGCAACAGCATATGATCAAGGAACAAAAAGGAAACGGTATGCTCCCTCATTCTCGAAGATCAAATGCCCCTTTTGATATGGCTGATCTCATTTTGATGACTAAAGTATAGGCGAAAAGTTTTTTCCTTAATTTTGCTGATTCTCGAACTTCTTTTATTTTTTTCCAGAAGGCCTTGCATTGTGGCCAGGCTTGTCTCCATTGGCACCAACTAGCCAGGCTTATCTTCAGTAAAGTTTCTTTCATTCTTCATTTTCGCCTAGTTAGGTACCTTTGTTACTGTTTGTCCAATTCTGATAATTTTTTTTTCCTTTCCAAGGTCTTCTGCTATTAAAGCTCCTGATTGGCTTGAAGCTGCAATCCGTGCCTCCAAACTGGATTTGATGGAAACTTCAGCTTGTTCGTCAAGTGGGAGGGTAAGGACTAACAAATTTACTATCACTGTTGTTTTTGTTTGACTTACACTATTATGTTAAATTCTCTTGATCCTAAATTGTGTACATTCCACTCAAACAACAATTTATCGTTGCCAATAACAAACCATGCAGGTTTTTATTCCCAAGAGATCATGGAAGAAGTGTGCAGCTCATATTCACATCAGTCATATAATCAAGAGTTTAGAGATGCCAAAAAGACAGGTTATCAAAGAAACTAGGCTTTTTGACTGTCATCAACCGAGAGCACATGAAGGATCAAAGCGTGGAGTTCTTTTACAAGCGCACAGCTTAAACGGAATGAAAAATGGAGTTACTTCTACTGTGACGAATCCCAATGAGAGTAAGAATATTATTCTCCAGCAGCAATGTCATTATCGAGAGATATCACAGTCTGCTCCAACACCTGTGGTTTATGGCCCTCAAAAGCAAGTAAGCCTAAGGTTAATTTTGGTGATGATGCCACCCCTCTTCCTCATGCACTAATGATTATCCTTATTATGCAGAATTTCAACTTCTTGTCCTTGTCAGCAGGAAGTAATGGGTTAAAGGCCGACAATAATAATAATAATAACAAAATTGGAAGTAGGTTGGAACCATTATCAAAATTGCAAATGCCTTATTTTCAGTCACTAGCACAGCAGCATGGGGTGGTCATGCCAATTCCTGTAGCTCAGAGTCAGTATGCCTCAACTTCTTTCCTTGATCAGCTTTCTGTAGCAGGACCACAGGTATTAAATATCTCTTTTGTTGCAAGAGCAATGTTATTAAAGTATCATTAATCCAATAAAATAGGCTCGGAAATCTAGGGTCCAACTTTGGTAAAAATAGTTTAATGTGATCATCTATATGAAATGAGGTGCCTAAAGTTTATTGCTAGTAATGAATTGAACAAACTAGCGTGCAATTTAATATCTCATAAATATGCACTCTTATTGTCCTGCTAGTATCGTCACGCAATGCTTTAATTGAGTGCAGGTTCGGTTGCAGCAACCTCATTATTTTGGTAACCCGTTATGTGGAACTAATTATAGTTCAACGCTCTCACATAAATCAGATCATCGAAGCTTTTGGGGGTTGCAACAAGCAGAACAAAGTAGGTCCACAGTAAATTTCAATATAATGAGGACCCAATTTCCTAATTGGCAAAGTGCAAGGCATGACTCTTCTGCAATGAATCCATGTTCCCAAGCCATTCTTCCCTGTTCGTCTGCATCACAAGATACGTTGGGATCTAAGATTTCTTCAATCACTGCCCAACAGAAGCAGCTCCTTGCACCCTTCCAAGACAAATGGACTAGACCTTCATCATCCCCCTTCATCATATGAAGAAACCAGAGACACACTCCCAACTAGTGCAACAATGTGGCTGCCAATGCGATTGTAAAGTCATGACCAACATCAGTACTACGATTCATTGTTTTATATTTCTACACGGGCAGCTTCTAGAGCTTCACCTTTCATATTAAAAGTAACATAGAACTCTTAATTTGCGCTAAAATATCCCCCAACCAAACTTAGAAGGATTGCCCCCTAATCATTTTTCATTTTGCAGGACACTAGCACCATCTAACTGAAAATAAAACACCAATATCTGTTCCCTAATGGTTCATCCCTACCACCAAAATTAATCGATTTTCATTGCTTATACACTGCAATTGTCCAGTTATATTCCATTAAGTGTTTTACAAACTGTCACGACGAGCAAATAATTTTTTTTAAAAAAAATACATAATAGAAATCGACAATAAAAGAAAGGCTATTGAAAACCCTGATTTGATTAATGTCTTACAAATATAAACATAAGCCCAATAAGATGCGTAGGTAAAGGCTACTGAATACACGGCTCAAGAAAAAATATTTTCAAAATTCTGTATCACAATTGAAATGCAAGAATTACGCCGAGGGCAAAAGCAAGTCATCGAAACCTCCAAACTGCTACGACTGCAGAAAAGTAATGTATCACTCCAGTTTTTCCAATTCCCCCATTCTCTCAATGATAGCCTGCGAGCACAAAAACAGGTTAGTTATCGAATTGAGGTTTTCTGTTCCACGGACTTCATAGCTATGTCAAAACAATTACACCCAAAACAGCATTTTCATAAGCGGAGAAATGTGTAGGAAGAAGTTATAGAAGTAGACAACTATGCCTGAAATCATAGTGTATAACAACAAGGCTTAAACCTTAAAGCAGCAGCCATACATGGAGTGCTTAGAAACCAAAATAATGCATACCTTCTTGCTTGTTTCTTGCAGTTCACCCGCTAGAATGAATTCATCAAGTATAAGATAGACCTTCAAGACAAACAGGTAAATTACATGAGTAAGTAAACGTTCAAAAATAGTAATAATAATCTCAAGGAAGAAAAACGTTCAATATGGTGGGCAATAACTACTCCAGTCCTAACACTAAACCACCATGAACTGTACTTAGAAAGAAAAATAAAACAAAGATCAGTAAAAATCATTATAACAGACATACATACATACATCCACCAGAGGATCTTGATGTATATAAACGATGACATTACATATTGATTATATTCTTTGGTTTTCCACATGTATGAGGTAATCCTGTCCCAGACCCCATTTTAGCATTAATTTATAGTGTTACATATTGATTAGTGCAGCTAAATAATCAATGTAGCATACTGATTATTGTCGGGTATGGTTTGTCAATATACTAACATGAGCTCAAGAATACACGCAGCAGAAGAAATCAATTAATAGCAATACCGAGACTAGAAACTACGGCTTATAGTCACCTACATCCACATAAACAGTCACACAATTATTTTACTGAAAATAAACTATAACAAGCAAAGAAAAAAAGGAGTAAGATAAGAACACAATTGTAGAGGGAAAATAAGATGAAAAACAAACCTTATGGAAGTTAAATACCAAATCAAGTTCACACACATTGCTGAAGAAGTGATCCAGTATTTCCACAAACAAATGAATGCACTCTAAGTATGCCAATTCATTATCAGTGATATCAACACAGAGTGAAAAAAACAAGCCAGCATATCGCCTGTATATTATCTTGTGCGTACGAAACTGCAATACACGAGAAGGTAAGAACACCGACAGACAAAAACATTGTAGCAATTCAGACAGTCTAAGAGCGACAGAACCAGAACCTCGTCACAGTTCCATAACATCAATCAATAAACAGACAAACAACAAATTGCATGATAATCAAAATGGCGGAGATAAAATTGACCTCGACGAAATTAGTGTACTTAGGATCTCTGTTTACGACGAGGCGATGAACCTGAGAAAATTGAGGTGAAAATTAGGTTAAGGCGTTGTTAGTTGTGCGAATAAGAA